CCAGTGTAGTGTTTGTTGTGGCCCTGCTCTCCACTTTCCTTGAGGCTTTCTGATTTCAGGAGGATTGAGTTAGACTGGGGAAGGCCAACTTCCTCTACCATCCATCACAAAGAGCCTCGCACAGTGGGTTAATCAGATCATGACTCATTGACTTGTGGGAGACCCGAGGACCAGGGCTGGGAGTGTTAGGAGGAGACACCATGGGGTCGGGGGGGGGGGCAGCATGAGGACACCAGGCACTGAGTGGAGAGAGATGGCACCTGAGTCACTTGCTGCTCAGGGATGGCTCAGATGCTGCCATTCTAGAAAGAGCTCTGAAACCTGAAAACACCATCCTAACAGCACAGATGAGAAACCCACACAGCCTAATGAATAATAAACTTGACTAAAATTCCCAGCACTGTGCTCAACTACAGCCACAAGATGGCAGGCAACAGTGGAAGATTCTCCACAGCCTTGCCCAGGAAGCGTTCTGCAGACCTGAGGGAAATCAAGCTCCCACTGTCCAGTCCAACAGCTGGCCATCAACGATACATTCATGAAGCTGCTATAAGTTAAACTCTTGTTGAGAGAAGGAAGGTTCTAGATGTAATTTTACCATCCATTTAGAGAATGGGGTAGAAAAATGTAGAAAAACTTGATTTCCTATTTGTTTTTACTGTCAACAGTAAACTGTAAAAAAACAAATCTAATTTCATTGGTTACTGTTTGTAGTGTTGAAGAAAAAGTTCTAGAATTTGAGTCAGAGGGCCTGAATTCTAGTCCTTGCTCTTTTCTTAAGAAGGTCCTTGACTCCAGGAAGCCATGCCCTAGAGCCTCAGTTTCCTTCTTGGTTGGACTTGGATGAACTCTGGGATTCCTTCCAGAAACCAGTCATGGAATGAAATAGCATGTGGGGAAAGCAGACTAAGAACGAAGTGGGCACAAACGTAAGGTCCTGCAATGCTTCATTTCCATGGCATCCTTGGGGAATGGGCTGTTCCACATGACGAGTTTTCCAGATAATTGAATTTTAAATGCTGAAACTTGTTTTCCTTTTAACCTTCTGTAATGGAAATCTTTCTAAAGTGTATTACACGCTTCCCAGGCTTCTTCAAAAGCAAGCTAAATATAGTTTAACCTTGCCTGAATGTCTCTAGGTCAACATGATGTCACCTCTTACTATATATACAGTCCTGAATAGAGCACCGGTGCCTTTGGGCATATTCAGGTAGGCAGGACGCTCATGCTAAATGGCCCCAGAGACTATATTATAAAGGTATAATTGGCAATTCTTCCTTTCTGTATCTCCTACATCACTACCTGCAGTCATTTCTCCAAGTTACACCTTCTAGCAGCATTTGACACTCGGTTTAAAATCTGCTATAACCTAGAGAGAACTCAAGGTTGCTATGGGTAACCGGAGTCTGAGCTTGTAACAACCCTAAATTTAATTTTACACACAATTTAAAGGCAACGGGTACTATGCTGAAGGTTACTTACTTGTGGTCAGGGCTGATATTCAGTTAGTCTGCCCAGTCTGTAATGTAATGTTCCTATGCCAGTTGGCCAATTGCCCAGAGCCCCTTGGACCCTCCAGCCAGCTTAGCACCCTGACCTGTCTCCTAGGATCATGCACTTCTCACGTGCTGGTAACTCAAAGGTGCACTCTGGCTCCAGGACCCTGTTCCTGCAGGGAACCAGCATCCTTTCCAATTGGCGGGTACCCATGCCATCCCAATTGCCCAGTACTTGATATCACCCTGGTTTCAGGGCTGCAGATTATTCTCTTTCCTGATGAGTGCATGGCTAAAGTTTGAGGCTCTCCTCTGTCCCTCCAACTCAAAGGCCTCTTCTCGGTTGCATGCTGTGCTCTGGGTTCAGATGGCCTGAGGCTGACCAGGACGGGTGTTAAAAGTTAGCTTTGACTGAACATCTACCATATGCCAGATGCCTCTTCAGTACATTAACTAAATCATCTTATCTAATCCACTAAATGACCCTATTGGGGAAATAGCATCAACCTCCTGTGGCTGAGGTAACTCGCCCAAAGTCACACAGCCAACACGTAGGCCTGGAAGCCAGTCCCATCTTTCCGAGCTCCATGTTCTTTGCACTATGCTCCTCTCCTGTTTATTAATGTACAAAAAAAGTGTATATTAATGTACAAAAAAGTCCAGTCATGGTTCACATCCTGGAAAATACATTTTAAGTGAAACATGGGCCCTTTTACTTTTCAGAAAAGGCTACTTGTTTTGTTGTGTGGGTTATGTTTTAATTAATTCCATATTTTGTTACCAATTTGGAACAATCTGTCCTCAGGGAACAGATCTGGTTTACTTATAGAAAGCTGGCTGAGGGAGGGAGGGACTGGGGTTACAAAGTATTCCTTGTAGGAAATCATCTAAAAAACCTTCTCAGTTCTCCCTCCACCATACAAAAGTAAATTGAACATTCCAGAAAAATCCCATCTTCCCTAGAGTAGGTATGATTAGAGCTTGCAAATAAACACTTTCCTCTGTGTGTTACCAGCTGTGCCTGCAAGATGGGGCTGTTACCTCTGAAAAGAATAAGAGGCTCCCAGAGCTTGCAGGGGCCGGCAAGTTTACAGATCGACTCTAAGCTAATTTTTAAAATAAGCAAACCATGACCTCATCTTTCACATTTTGCACCTGCTCCTCCCACACGTAACACACCCACAATTTTCAGGGTGTCCTCTTCCAAAAACATCCACCACGCTCTCTAGTTCCCAGAGTAACTCTTGTCAGGGTGGAAATAGCCCAAATAATTGACTAGCCATAGGTGACAGGGTCAAAATGCCAAATGTATTAGTTTGCGAGGGCTGCCATAATAAAGTACCATGAGCCAAATGGCTCAAGTGACAGAAATTTGTCTCACGGTTCTGGGGCCTAAAAGTCTAAGATCAAGGTGTTGCCAGAGCTGTGTTCCCTCTGAGGTACCAAGGTGGAATCTCTTCCAGGCCTCTCTCCGAACTCCTGATCGTTCCTTGGCTTGTGGCAACATAACTGCAATCTTCACTTGGTGCTCTCTATGTGTGCATGTCTGTGTCCAAATTTGCTGGAGGACACTAGTCCTCCTGGATTAGGGGCCCACCCTACTCCAGGATGACCACATCTTAACTAGTTACATCTGTAAAGAAGGCCACATTCTGAGGTACTGGGGGGTTTAACACTTCAAAATATGAACTTGGTAATGGGGATTAGGTGGGTGGCTAGAAGACACAGTTCGAGCCACAACATCAGCTAAGGTAGTTTTGAATTCAAAATCAAACTCAAGAGAAGGAGCAGAATGGATTGCCCAAAAGAGTGCCTCATATTATAATTCCAAGTGATGGTGTGGACAACTAACATATCATATTGGTGGGGTGGCGTGGGGTGTGATGTTAGTACTCAGACACCCGAAATCTTATGCTTACAAGTAAGGGGATACACATTAATTGAGGTTGCTATTTGCAGAGATACACTGGGGTCTCTACAAAACCCTAATTTGTATTCACCAGTTTTTAGGACAAAACCTACATAGGTATGTGGAAAAATTTAGTGTTGAAGGAAACCTTTAGCCAGTTACAGAGTGAAAAGGAGCATCTTGAGAACATTCAAAACACTTTAAATTCCCTGATAACTTAATCGCAAAGTGCTTCTAGCCCTAAAGTTCTGCTTAGATATGTTTGCCAAGCGGATTCTATATTAAAATTGGGTTTCCTTTTATAAGATGGAGTGGGGGGCTTCTGTTTTCCTTGTCAGTTTGGGTAGGGGGAAGACTTACAGTGTTCTAGTCATTTTCTTCGCTGGTGTCCGCCGTTAGACTGAGGAGGTATTTTGTGAAGCTGAAAACCATCCGTGAAATTAAGCACCAGACCACGTAGCAAGGACCAGCGTATAGCTCTGGGGCTGAGCTGAAGTATAGCACAGGAGACAGGAGCACAGACTATGGTGGCAGATCTCTGGTTCTGCCTTGGGCAAGTTACATGGCCTCTGTAGCCAAGGTTTCTCATCTAAAGCTGTCCTTTATAGCGTTGTGGTAGGTATAAAATGAGATAGCAGATGGCAGAATGTCCACTATGGTAGCAACTGCTCAATCAGTGGTACTTCTTATAATTGCACCAGAGAACTAGGGAGGGAATCTTGGAAAATGGAGCTAGTCTCCTTTTGTCTTGTCAACTTCTTGGTTGTATGAGCACTGGGAGCCCAGGACTCTAGGAGTCCTTCCTCATTACTTGATTCACTTTCATACTTCTCTTGAAGACCAACCAGCGGGTCCTGGTCTTTTCCTTCTATCACCCCTGCATCTCTGAGGCTTCTGGGGAGATGTCACCATCCAGCATACACACATGACTGTACCATCAGAGAAAGGAATTTCAGAGTCATGACTGTTCACTAGTGAAAAAGTTAGTTTGGGAGATTTACTTCCTCAGCTGTGGAAAATTTCCTTATTTTCTGTATTCTTGATGTTCTGGCATTTGGGGCCTTCCTTGATCCCAGAGAGACTGACCCTCCCAGGGTTTAGCCAATTCCTAGAAATAGCAAACAACTCCCCTGAGAGTGTGCCTTTGATATACAAATCAACCAATCCAGAGCCCACACCCCAACTCTCTCCTTTGTCAGACTCTCATACATCAAGACAATATTGCCCCTAAGTCATCCCAAGCCAAGTACTAGACAATCGGAGACCATCCTATAGCTCAGAATCTGCTGAAATTATTCAAACTACCAAATCCTAAGATTGCTCAGAGTAGCTACCATGCTTCACCCAAACCTTCCCTTGAAAACCCCAATAAAGGCTTTGGGCCATGTTCTCCCTTCTTCTCCCCCTGCCTCCTGACTAACACTGCTGCTTCTCCATGAAGCCCTGAAGGGTGTGCTCTTCCTCCTATTTCTAGGGATCTGTGAGTGTAAACTTCTTCCCTTCTGACAGTCATTTTCCTGTCTGCGTGTCTTATCATACTTGATTAAAACAAATCCCAGGTACATCTGAGCATAACAATTAGCAATCTCACAGACCTGTTTCCCAACCTTTTGTCCTATTTCCATTCTCCAAGCTCCTTGACTTCAGCTATTTCAGTCCAGATGCCCACTGACCACATCCATCCAAATATCTCTTCCTGACCACACAGAAGTGGAATGGTGTGCTGGATCAGGTACCACCCCTAGCTGGGAGTCAGAAGAGAGAGACTGAGTGTCTCAGCTCTGCCAGTTATCACTGTGACATCACGGGAACACTGCTTCACCTCTGTGAGCTTCTAGAATGATAAAACCAGCTCAGGTGGGTCATATGAAATGTTTCAGAGATTCACTCCTAATACATTGGCATAGGCAGCTGCAGTTAACCTCCCTCCCACCCTCACTCCATCATCCCAACACACTTACTCAAGGTCTCAAAGCTAAAATTGCTAGAAGACCTATGGAGAGAACCCAGAATCCCAGACGCGGACTGCTTCCCCTTACCACACCATATTTGCCTCGTCCTTGGAGCCTCCATTAAGGAGCCTAACAGATATGAGAAAACTTATCCAGTATGGAAACACTCTTCCAAATCCTAAAGATCTAGCAACCTCTTGGATAAGAAACTCCTAGTCTTTGCAAACGCTCTCCATATAGAATAGTCATTGTGAGGCTAATATTTTATTGAACACTGTGTATTAAACATAGGGCTAAGCCCTTTATATGCATTATTGTATTACATTGGTTCAGTAGTGTTATTATTCCCATGTCACAAACAGGGAATCCAAGGGTAAGAGGGATGATTTTTCCAAGGTCAACCAGCTTGTAAGTGTGGGAGCCTGAGGAGGTAGCACTAGTTGTATGGTTCCAGAGCAGGAGATCTTGGCCATTGTGCTCTCCTACTGGATGTCCCCTCCCTGCTCTTCCTTCTGCCTCTGCATCCAAAGCAGCTCCCCTCAAAGCTGACAGCTGCAAATGGTGGGGGCTCTCAGTGGCAGCTCTGGGAGGGCTGCCTCAAGCTCCATGTTGATCCCTGCTTCTAACCCTGAGGACTCAGCCACCAGGGTCTGGAGATCACCTTCTCAACACCAACGAATATTACAGTGGCCAGTCCTGTTTCTTTTCTAAGAACACTTTCTAATTTTAAATAGAATAATTTCTCTTCAATACCCCTCCTTGAAAATGAAGCTTCTCCCAATAACTGCCAGTTCAGGACCCAGCCATGAGCCAAGAACATCTCTTCAGTCAGATAGGCAACCCAAAGAGAATACTGGTGAGATTCTACTGAGTAAGTACTCACACATGCCAGTCAGCCCTGTGCTATGACTATTCCATGCACTGGTTCATTTAAACTAAGACCACAGTCTATGTGCCTGATGACTTCTTGTTGCCCCTCCATGCCCACTCTTCCCCATTCTCTACCCTGCCCTCTGCCCCAGGTTTACACATGTGGACAGTCCCCATGGGCTCCCTTGTCACTGGCTTCTGGCTGGTTTCTGCCAATGGAAAGCTCTGGTAGAAGACTGAAGGGAAGGAGAAGATTAAACTTAAGATACTTCTGCTCTGGCTTCTTCCCTTCAGGATCTCCTTGGGTTAGATGTCTTCCTCACTCAAAGGTCATCATGATTCTCAAGGTGACCCTCTCTTCATGATTCTCTTCTCTTGGGACAGAGAAGCCGTCCTCACAGGAGCCCCTGAAGGCTTGACAAAAGTTATGCACCTCAGAATATCTTCAAACTTCTCTTTTCTTGTCTCTTCCACATATAACCATTACAAAAACCCTGGTGTGTAAAGGGTTAACACAGCAAATTTGGGGTATTCAACCCGTGTCCATTCTAAAGAAAGAAGTGGTTCTTGACTAACTCCTGGGAGGTAACCTCTATGCCCTTGGGATATTCTGCCTGATACCAGATAGTTTATGCTAATAATGTGATTTATGGCAGGGGCATTGGGCCAAGTGGCATTAGTTTGAACTCTGGAAGGACTGGACACTGAGTAACTAAGGTCAGCTTCACAGGCACTCCATGTCTGGGTAACTAACCTCCAAGAAAAACCCTGGTGCCGAGGCTCATGAACTTTCCTGGTTGACAGTACTCCACAGATGTTGTCACACGTCACTGCTGGGAGAATTGAGCCCTTCCCAGGACAACGCTACTGGGAGGGACAACTGGGAGCTCACACCTATTCTCTCTCCTGGACCCCACATTGTGTACCTTTGACCTTTGCTGATTTTAATCTGTGTCTTTTCACTGTAATAAACTGTATCCCTGAGTTTTTCTGTGTCCTCTGAATCCTTTTAGTAAATCACTGAGGCTGAGGGTGGTCTTGGGGACTCTGAGTCACCTGGGAAACTACAGTCCAATCATAACTTACTGCCATGATGGGCGGCCATACAGGTGAAAAACAGAAATATGCTCATCATCAAGTGGATTTTCCAGGATGGGAAAACTGGGGGCAAGGGCAGGGGTGCCTGGTGGTCTAAAGATAGTTCTAAGTATCTCAAGGGGCTTCTGGACTATGAGTCTGTGAGTAAGGTGACATGGGACAGGCAGATAGAAATACATCCAGGACCCAACCTTTGGTGCTCCAACTAGAGGGGAGATGCTGGGTTGAGAGGAAGAGGGTCTAACTCAATGTGACATTTCTTTTTTTTTTTTTACCATTATATTTCCAAATATTTACTTTTTAAATTTTTTAAAAAATTATTTTAATTCAATCAATTAAATTGTTTTCAGAGGTACAGGTTCAATATGACATTTCTCATACTCTTGTGTCATGTGCCACTTCTTTTATTTCTAACCCAAACGTCCGGAAAAAAGAAAATACTCTGAGTCTGAGTCCTCTAAGAGAGAATGAAACAACAAAAGAAAAATACAAATACCACAATCCTTCAACTTAGTGTATTTTCCCTTTATAGGATAAATTGCCATTGGCTTCCTACCAGAGTAGGTCTTGTAACCCTCTGTAGCTACAGCCTGGAGCAGCAGACATTAAGTGAGCCACAGGGGTCCCCCATCCAGCCCCTGTGCCAACTCCCCCACTCACCTGGCCCCACTGACATCAACTCCGACCATCAGCTGCCCGTTCAGTGAGAGGATCTCATCTCGCAGTCGGACCTTCCCGCTCTTCCCTGCCGGGCTGTTCTTCCTCAGCTCTGTCACCCAGATGCAGCCAACGTCCAGTACGGGGCCCTGATGGGTCTTCCTCTTTTTGCCCCCTCTGCGCTTTTCTCCATAGTCCCCGAAAACAGGGATGTTCCCAAAACTGAGGCCCACAGTCTCTGCGTCCCCCAGCTCCCTGGTGAGGTACACAGTGCAGATTTCCATGCCTGGGGGGCTGTGGTCAGGTGGGACCGTACTCTCATCCACAGCAAAGTTCAGCTGGATGTATTCCTGCAGCTTCTGGATGGCCGCCTGGCAGAGCCGCTGCTCTGGGCCATCCCCACCCTCCCGCAGGCTGTTCTGCAGCCACTGGTAGAGGAGGGGCAGGTGCAACATGGCATTGTCCTGGGTGATGGGCATGGTGCTCACTCCCAGACACCAACATCATGAGAGGACCTGCTTCTGGGGGCTGGACCCTGGAAGGCCCCATGTCCCTTGGGAACCCTGGCTGTCATCAGCTTTGCCTGTGTTCATGTTCAGGCTGGCAGATGAGCCTAAAGGATGCCTACTTGAGACTGGGCTGTTTGCTTTTGCAAGAGGAGGACCGGACACAATTAGAACCACAGTGGGATAATTGCTGTGCCTGGAGTGCTCACCAAGAGAAGGACGGAAGTGTCTGACAAGTTCTTGCTTGGTTCCTTTCACAGTGGGGCCCATGCAAATGACCCAGAAATGGGGTATGCCTCCAGCAGCCAAAGCATGACCTCACCTGGTCCCATTTATGCCTGGAAGAGGAAAAAACAAAAAATTTGGGTCACAACTGTGAGCCCTCTGATACAGAACACATGGCCTCATGTAATACAGAAGGACTACGTTTGCTTTTTTGAGCCAGGAAACTCATGCCTCTCCTCATTCCCCAGCTAAGATCCCTCCGCTCTGTATACACAGACATACTGACAGACACAGACACACAGATATACAGATGCACACGTACATACACACCCTTCCCCCAGACAGAAACCTCTGGAACAATGACTTTCCCCAGGAAGTTTTCCTGATCATCAGGGAAATAAGATGACTTTTTTCTAAGACAACTCCCATCAAACTCATATCCAACCAGAAGGCTATGTGAAAGACTCCTTAGAAGACTGTTAGAGGGGTTCTGGACATATGTAAGAGCTTACATTCTTAGGGAGTTAAAATCTATGTCCATTTGTCTTGATCAGCTCAACTGCATACACGGGAAGGCTCTCCACTCCAGGACTGACAATGATGCCAAGAAGAGGAAGAGCCAATCAACAGCACAGAGAGGTTCGGGCTCTGGCTTAGGACAATACCCATCCTAAGCTCAGCCATCATTCCATCTTCATCACGTAGCCTCAGAGGGGATCATGTCCCTATGCACCCTGCAGCTATTAGTCGCTTCTCCTCTTTTCTTTTGGTAAACTGTTGCAACTGATCTACTCTTAGTCCAACCCCAAAGCTATCTCCTCCAGAGAAATGTTTCTCCATGCTTCTGGGTGCAGAGACTTGGCCTCTCCTTGGCTTTCCCTTGACCACACTGCTTAAAGCAGTGATGCATCCCCCTTGCATTGCCAGCTGCAACAGGCAGGGTCTCCCCCATGAGAGCTGGCAGCAATCTGGCCCCCGCTGAATCCTGTACAGTGCCTGGCACACAATACATCCCCACAATGAAAGGCTAATTGAATTCCATTGCCAATCCACCAAAGAAAATGTTTACCTCCATCTTTCGTAAACACAGAAAAATGACTCTTCATTCTCTTCTCTGAATTTCACTTTTGCCCAGAGAAAGTCAACATAAACTTGCCATCTAAGATGGAAAACATTCTCTAGCTTTCTCAGGAAGTAGATTTAACAAGGAATAATAATAAATGGGAGAGGTGTCAGAAGGCATGTCAATAATACATGGACTTATTACTCAGTAACCATAAAGAAATTTCCAACATAGCAAGTTTTGAGCTTCCAAAGAACTTGAGTGCCAGCTATTAATTGGTTCCAAATAAATCAAAAGCTTAGCAAATATAATCTACATAATCACATGCCTATTAAAAAAGAAACGCAAGATCAAAGAAAAGATA